CCGGTCCCGGCTGGCTGAGGCCTTGCAGCCCGCGGGCCGGTGCCGGTGCCTTGCTGCGGTGGGGCTGAGCTCCCGCGGTGAGCCCGGCCCAGGCCCGGTGGCTGCCGCGCGGAGCTCATGGCTGCTCTCTCTTCCAGTCATCCCACAAGACCTTCAAGATCAAACGCTTCCTTGCAAAGAAGCAGAAGCAGAACCGGCCGATTCCGCAGTGGATTCGCATGAAAACGGGCAATAAAATCAGGTAATGCGATGGGCTGCCGGTTTTTGAGGAGCTGCAGCCGCGCAGGCTCTGAACCCGCCTGCCTCTGCGCTATGGGCTGCAGCCGGGGGGTGTAAAAGCGTTTCTGAGGTGCAGGTTGTGACCCTGGATCCCACACATGCATTCTAGTGCAGGTACACAATTACCGGGTACTGGCATAGAATCATAGACGGGTTTGGGTCGGACGGGACCTTAAGGATTGTCTAGTTCTAACCCCCTTTCATGTGCAGGGACACCTCACACTAGTCCAGTTTGCTGCAAGCCCCATCCAGCCTGTCGGCCCGGTGTGTTTTCTGGAGGCAGAGTGGGGCTTTGATGCCACTTCTTTCTGTAGCAGTTCAGTTCATTCCAGTGCTCTGCAAGTATCCACAGGTGTGAGGTGATGGCACGTTGAAACTGAAAGCATGAACTGTACCTGTGGCTAGTTTTCACACTGGTAACGTCTCTGCTGCTGACATTCCCCTTCCCAACCCTTTCCACTCTCACAGCCATCACTGGTTTCCTGTGCTTTCAAGCATCAGAATCTTGCTGAGGGTGGGTGTCCTGAGATACAGAAGATGGTGTGCAAGGGAGCAAAGGGCTGTTAGGTGTATGGGAGACCAGTAAGATCCTTGGCATGTGACTGCAGAATTAGCCTGCAACGATTCCTTTTTTATTTTATGTATAGTGCTCATTTTCAAGCATTGTACTTAAGAAAATGCAGTAAGAGAACACTGCAGAACTCAAGGGAAGTGTAAGACATGCAGAAGGTTATGCATATCCAAGCCTTGTGCTTTAAAACCTTCAGCCAGTGTGGTTTGGTCACTCACACTGTGCAGTAGTTTTTTATCTTGTATCCTTCCCTGTCTAGATTTTATAAGGGAACAGGATTCTTCTACATCATTTTTTTTAAGTGGTAAGGGGAGGGACAGTAGCAGTGGCTGGCTCAGGTGGTAAACCAGTACTTGGGTCTTGGGCTTCACCCAACCTGTGTGCTAAAGCAGGCTGCAATTGCAGTGCCCCATCCCGTGGGAATGCTGCCATGTCCCTGCTGAGAGCAACTCTGTGAACACTGGCTTCGGTTTCACTGTGTGCTGGTGAAACCATTTGTTCTTAACAGGTACAAGTACATACTCCTGAGGGAACATAGCTCCCTGGAGGAGGGCCTTTTCCATGTGCTGCTCTGCTTTCAGGTTTTGAACAGTAATTACACTTTTTGTGTTAGACTATGGACTATATTCAAGAGGTAGTTTTCATTATCATTGGATGGTAGCTAGAAGGTCAGGGGGTAGGATGTTCACACGCCAGTGCTGATGCATCACTGCAGGCTTGTCTGTCTCTTTGTGGTTTAGGCTCTGCTGCAGTAACATGCTGGTTGGTTAGTGAATGAGGAAAGTGATACAGAGGTGGAAATTTAGAAAAATGAGTACACAGCTGATTATTTTGACAGCTTGCCACTGTATCGTATTAGAAAGATGTCAGTCCTTTACTGCTGAGCCAGTTCCAGGTGGTTGCAGTCCACCTGGATCCTCAAATGTGTGTCTGAACTTGGCTAATTTACATGGCTCTTGTTTTAGGTACAACTCCAAAAGGAGGCACTGGAGAAGGACCAAACTGGGCTTGTAAAGAGAAACCATCTCCTGGGAACTCTAATAACACTTGTCTTTCTGCATCAGATGGGTGCAGCCCGTACGCTGCTTGGCAACCCCCCGTGATTCCTTCTGTAGTGTTGGACTGCAATCCCCAGTGGGTTTTTTATAAATTAATCTGGGATATTGATGTTAACTGGGAAAATCTGGAAGTAATTTGCATCTGAAACAAGAAGACTGTGTTCTATTAGTGTTCTTTCTTCAGGCTTCCTCGTGAGTGTTGACAGTGTACAGGCTTACTAATAAAGATGGACCTGAATTACTTGGTTGAAATTATTTCATATATATACATGGTGGAGTTGTAATAGAGAACAAAAACTAAGATTACTGTGAATATATTCTGACTTAGTTTGAGAAACCTTGTCAGCTCCTTTCAGGTAGAGTAGGCTGTCTCATCACTTCATGTAAACCTTTGAGAGCATGGTGTACCATTATTTTAAAGAAAAGGGGTAAAAATCAACTGATTAGAGGAATGGATTTGAAGAAAATATTTTACTAGATAAACTGAAATACTTGAAAAATAAAGTTCCAGCAGCAGGTTTGAAAAAGGCTGCTGCTCCTTTCCCTTCTGCAGGATGGGCCTGAGAGCTGCCGTGGTCAGCAGGCAGCAGCCAAAGGTGCCTGTTCTTGGATGTGGCTGTGGCAGAGCCCATCCTGACTGAGGGCTGTGAAGTCCTTTTGTGCTGTTTTCTGGGTTCAGGCTGCTGTTGTGGCTTATTTCCTGGGTGGCAGCTTCCTGAGGAAGCTTCGGGCTGCCACACCTGTCTTGCTGCTTTTCATGTTGAAGATAAATAGATTTATGTCTGCATTACAATTCATAGCTAATAATGCTGGGTGCAGCATCTGCCAAACACACTTAAATGCATAACAAATACCTCACTCAGGGGTCATAGCAGTTTCTCCCTCTTAAGCCATTCTGGAGGTTTCTCTGAGGACAGGGAAGCAAAGCTGAGATTTTACCCACTTCAGGACACTCCAGAAGCATCTTTCAGTTTCTTTTCCTGTCTGGTAAGAGTGATTTCTACTTGGTTTCAAAGGGAAGCAGTAAGTCACTGCAACAGGAAAGCAGCAACCAGCATTGCCAAAGATGTTTCAATAGAGGCCCACGTGCTGCAAACACTTTGACCCTGATGTTTTAAATTACTCTGTGCTTTTCACTTCAGGGCTTTTAGGAAATAACAGCTCTGCCAAGGATCGAAGCTCAGCCTTGGCGTCTGTGCCTCTCCCCAGCACCACTGCTGGCAGGCAGAGCTGCTCCCTGAGCTCCTCTTTCATTGTGTCTGTGAGGACCTGGCTGAGGAAGAAAACTAATTTTTTGGACTCCAGAATGGAAAGAAACAGTTTTCTCCATGGCATTTATGGGAAAGCTTTCCTGAGCAATAGGTTGAACTATTTATTCCTATAGTCTCCCTATTGCTATCATTACTGTACTATTCTTATTAGATGGAAGCAGCTTGTACCAAGGAGCTGCTCTGGAAAATAACCACATGTATTATTTTTCCGTGTTTGACTGATTCTGCTTTTCAAAGGACATTAAGGTATAGCACAAAGTAAATTTAATAAATTATAATTGGGTTCAAAGCAATCTTGTGCAGCACCATAACTAAAAAGACTACCTATGGGTTTGAATGATCTGTGTTCCTGTGGCAGCTCTCTTTTCCCTCCTCCCTGGGAGAGGGAGGATCAGGGATCTGCAGAGCTGAGCTAACACATGATGTCTGAGACATCAACAGAAGTTTTAAAGAAAACATCTAAATGAAAGGAAAAGCTGCCTTTAGGGGTTTGTGTTAGCTGGCATGGGGAGGCATGTACTACAAATAATTTAGTCCCATTTAAGCCTGACATTTGCCAGTTAAATTTTACTTTAAAATGGAACGTTGAAATCCAGGTTTCCTGGTGGAGCATGACTAATCTGCAGGTACAAATGCCAAGGAGACATTCCTCTATTTACTCTTACTCAGAGGAGGATGTAGGAGTGATCCTGTGCCCTCTCCCCGCAGCGAGCTGCTGCAGCAGGGGGGCAGAGGCCTGGCAGGGCCCAAAGTTCTTGGTCAGACCTGCACCCACCTGTCTTACGAACAGCACTTGGTCACCTCTGCAGACCCCTGGAAAAGCAAACCACACCTCCCCTGTGAAGTGTCCCCACCAGTCCTGCAGCTCTGCGACGGGGAACAGAAACTCCCCAGCTGCTGCCTGAGAATCACTTCTCAACTGGGACTGTTATTTAAGGGAGCAGAAACGGTTTCATGCTGATGAAAAGAGGAAGAGGCAGTTGTTTTTCTGAAGATATTTTGAAGCAGCCCTGGCCTTCAAGAATGAAAAGCAAGTTGGAATCAGCAGGGCAGAGCCCCATTTGATGAACAAACCACAAACAGGCCAGCAGAAGCTTTGCCCTTTTAATGCAGTTACCAGTACATACATGTGGGGTTATGCTGCTGTTGGGATGTTTCTCAAAGAGTTTCATTTTTGAGCGTGACCTCAGTAGCAACAGGACAAGCAACATAATCTCACAGCCTTCTCACATTTTCCATGGTTTTGAGCAAGGAATCATCTTTCCAGAGCTGCTTTTGGGCTCCAGTCCCTGTGGGAGCTACTGCATAGACACCCCACTGGGTGTCCCTCTTGCCTCCTCTGCTCTGGCCCCCATTTCCAGTGGGGCTGAGCATCTCAGGTGCCCCTGGATGGGGATCCCCAGGGAAGGGGATTTGTCTCACGCTTTGAAAGGCTTCTCTGGGCCTGGTCTCCTCTGGCAAACCAGGCACCAGCTCTTGCTTTACTGAGAAACAGGTTTATCTGTCATAAACAGCAACCCAGAGGAGATGCATATGGTGGTGACCCTGGGATCTCAGAGGAAGCTGGAAAGGGTTGGCAGCTGGGTGGCATGTTCTTGTCTGTACCTGCTCTCCCTGCCGGCAGAGAAGTGTACAAAAAAAAGTGTTTGGGGAATTTGTTGTTTCTAAAGCCATAGTCGCTTCTCCACGATCAGACCAGTGCCAGGCCTGCAACATCACAAGTGTGGTTGCGAAATAATTAATGATATTCTGCAAGTGTCTCTCTAGGCCCCCTGAGGCACCATGACCAGTTCAACCTCACAGTGTTGCTGGGAGCTGGGGCACGGTGAGGGCCTGGCTCTATAGGTGGGAGAACTAAGACACTGAGTTGCTGCCATGACCTGCCTACAGTCACAAAGTCTGCTGGCAGCCTGGGATGGGCACCCCAACGTCCACCCTTGGCCCCTGGCATGGGACACCAACTCCCATGGAGGGTCAGCATCCCCCCACCACCACACAGGTGTCAGAGAAGCAGCTCCCCACAGCATGTGAACCCACACTATGGGGCTCTGCTGGGCTGCAGAAAGGAGTCCCCATCAGCAGGGGCAGGGGTCAAAAGCTTCCTGGGGATAGGTTCTTTTTGGAAGGGCTGTCCCCAGGCAGTGCTCGTGGTGGCCATGGTTGCCCCACACATATTCACACCGCCACAGCCCCAAGAGACCACGCAGGACCCTGGGCAGCTGTGGTGTCCCTGTGCAGGGGGATTGATCCCTGCTTGGCTGGGATTTCAAGCTCTGACCCTCACCAGATTCCCAGCTCCCTGCAGGCTCTTCAGCTATTCAGCATGTGTTTGCAGGAAAATGGGCCAGGGGAGCTTCAGGGCTCTTGGAAGAGAGCAAACGCTTGTCTGACAAAGCCCCGGAGGGTTGACAGTCTCCTTGGGCGTTGGGTGGTCCCCCTGGCCCCAAAAGAGTCCACACAGTCCCGCCCTGCCCTGGCCTCTCTGGATGACTTACAGTTGTTGTTGGTGTTGTGAGAGCCCAGCTGGACCAAGTCCTCCTCTAAGGCCCCCGCCAACTCCTTCAGCTCCCTGGAGGTGTCTGCCCTCAGGTACTGCCAAGCCTTGCGTCCGTTGTGGTCCCTGAGGCTGGTGTCTGCCCCATAAGCTCCCACCAGCAATTTGATGAGCAGCTCGTGTCCTTGCAGGGTGGCCAGGTGCAAGGGGGTGAGCCCGCCGCTGGCTGTGGGGATGTTCACGTTGACTGGATAGCCCTTCCTCTGGGCATGGGAGATGACCTGAATGAAGCTCTCGTGGCGGCCATGCTTGGCAAGCCAGTGGAGAGCAGTGAAGCCTGTCACAAAGTCTTTCCTGGTCAGCAGGCTGGGATCCAGATCCAGCAGCCTGATGATGTTGTCTGCATCACCCTCAGCCACTGTCAGCAGCCACTCGTGCTCCAGGGGATCCAGGGCGAGGGACAGCACCTCGGGGTTCTGCTCAGGCTTCTGTTCTTGGTGCTGCCCTGCAAGGAGACTGCTGCTGTTGGATGTCTTCTGAGCAGTGGCCAAACGCATGGTGCTGCTGGGGCTATTGCTCTGCAGGAGGATTTCCTTCAGCTCCTTCCTCCGGGTACTGCCAGGGCTGATGGACAGCCTGCCCATGGTCCTACCCCAGCTCCCTGTGCCCTGGCTACCCCGTCTGATGCTCCTGTTGGTGTCCATCTTCTGCAGTGGCTGCAAACGCTCCCTGCTCACCACGGCGGCCGGCCAGAGGTGGGAGCTGCGGCCTAGGCTCCCCAGTTGGGGCTGGGCAGCTTCCAAGACAGAGACCGTGCGGGCAATGCCGGCTGCCCTCTGTCCTGCTGAGCCCTGCTCCCGCTCCCGCCGGGCCATGTCGGGGCGGCTCTCGGGCACCGCGCTGCTCGACTCCCCAGCTCTCGCCCCACGCTTCCTGCTCCAGAGCTGGGGGAAGGAGGAACCGGCCCCGCACGGCGGATCCCCGGGGCGGTGCACCGACCTTTGGTCACGCTGTGGCTGCCGCAGCGCCAGCACCGCCACGGCCACGGGCCGTTCGAGCCCCCAGGGCAGCGGGTCCCGGGCAGCCCCATGCTGGTGCTAGGGAAGAAATTTAATTAACTCTGTTCTCTCTGAATAGTCTCATTTTGCATTAGTGGCATTAATTAGCAGCTGCAGTAGCTGAAGCCTTAGGATGCAGGAGCCTACTGAGCAGAAACTTCTGGTAAAACCAATGCTGGTTAACAGAACTCACTGAATCTGGCAGAGTTGAGCAGAGTGAAGAAGATAAAGACCAAAGAGACAATTGCAAGAAAATGAAGTGATTCCAGAAGGCAGCCAGCCCAGTGACAGTGAAAACCAGTAAGAAATTAAGAGATCACCAACCAGAAATAAGTATTTGGACTTGGGGATGGGCTGCTGGGTGGAATGGGTGTAACTGGGAGCTGTGAATTGGGGTGGGTGTCCCTCTCCAGAGGCAGCCAGCTCGAGCTGTAAGCAAAGCACTAATAAAATACTAATTGGAAGTCTTCACTTGGACTTGGGATTGTCGGCAGGATCCTAGAGTCAGACCCTGTTGCAGTCACTGGTGTGCCTAAGTCCCTAACAACAGGCCTGGGCGCACTTCCTCTGGCCCAGCAGCATCCTGAGGGCCCAGATGCCTTGCTCAGGCACCTGCCTTACAGTTCCCAAATTGCCCCACTGTTGCAATGCTTCTCCTTGGTGCTGTGCTTGAGAAGGCTGAGGTTGCTGCCCCAAGGGGCCACTTCCCCAGCAGCCAGTGGGTCTCTGTGCTGTAAGGGACACCCAGCCCAGGGCAGTTTTGGGTCCCTTGCTACCCAATATTTCAGCCTGACCGCAGTCTGGCCTTCCTGTCTTGCTGTGTTTCATTTCCCAGCAAAGCTCCGTGGCTGGTGCTGTTAGCAGATGCAGCCACCAGCAGTTTGTCCCCTACTTTTGTTAGGAATCAGGACAAATTCCTCTGTCCCAAAAGCCCCCAGTCCTGTTTCTCCCAAGGCCTTTCTTATCTGTAACTCCTCAGACACCCATAGCATGGCTGAAGTGCCACCAGGTGGTTTTGCAGCTAGCACAGCAGCTGAAAGCCATGCCAGCCCTTTCAATCATTTTTCTTTTCCTTCCTTAAGATTTAGCCCTGCTCTGTCCTGCCCAGGGCTGGTCATAAGCCCACGAGGGAGCTTTGCCTTCCTCTTGCCACTTGGACTAGTTTTTCTGGGACCTGGCGTCATCCCATAAAGCCCAAATGACTGGTGGTGAGAACATAATTGTCCCCTTGCTCCATTCCTGGCTCTGCCTGGTTTTGTCACACTGGTTGTTGGTGGTTTCTGTGGGCTCAGGGAGGCAGAGGACTTGACCCATGCAGCCATGGGGTGTTTGGTAGCGGTTTAAAACACTTTTTGTGTGGCAGCTGAGGAAAACTAGGAGGAAGACAAGGTGCTGCTTTCGGATAAGTCCACTGCCAGTGCAAAGCACAGCACACGTGTAGGGTTATGCTGTCAAGCTCCGACTGGGCTCACTCTGGGGCTCCAACCTTGGGGGCTTTACTTGGAGGTCCCAGGGGCTGGGAATATTACTTGCTTTGGGTAGGGACCAGGTTCCCTCTTTCTCAATCTCTGCTGCTTGTGCATCCCACGAAGTGAGACCCAAACCATACAGCCCAGCCAGGCCTTAGCGCCGCACAGCTCGGCCCGGCTGCCGGCGGGGCCAGAGGGCAGCCGGGCACGGCCTCCCCTGGGAGCCCATCACGGTGTTGGGGCCGG